ATTAAATCTCTAACAACAAAATTTACTTGCTAGAGGAGAAGCATCGTCAGTCAGTGACAGAAGCATACACTTGACTGGAAAAATATGTCTTTCCTTTATTGTTCAGTTCGAAGCTCGATTAGCTTTCGAGATATTCTGGGTTAATTCACCTGCTTTAATTTTCTGTTTCAATTATCTTTTTCTGGTAACTAAGAGTTTTTCTATTTTGGTAACAAAGTGTGTGTTGTTGAGTCCGTTAGGATAGGGTAAGCCAACGTGGACGGATGCATGGATGCAACATAATTCGAGAAGTACTTTAACCTACCAACCTTAAATGATAAAACATAGGTAATAACAGACACCTACCGCAAGTAGTGGTCTTTTGTGTTTTCACTTTGCTCAAGCGAAAATGCCTCAGAAAAGGACACGAACGCCTTATCGTTGTTACAAAGCGGCTCCTCTGAGGATCCTTCTCCTTGGAAAATCACAAAATATGTTGACGATATATGGCTATTCACTTGATATTTCAAGTAACTTGGATGACAGCTTAGAGCCAGTACATAGTTGGATGGCATCTTATTGTCACACAAGCAAGCTAAAAATTCTGCTTGTTGTCCCATGGCTCTTTTGTTTAAGTCACAAGCAAGTTGCCGTGGGGGGCTAAAGAACTTCTTAATGTTTAGCCACCAGAGCCAAATCCTGAAAAGAGGAGTACATAAATCGTGCACATTATAAAAGACCAATCCAGCAACGAGACTGGAAACTTTCCTCAAGCTTAAACGAAATGTTTTATTACAGCTCTCTGATTAAATTTCCTAGGCAGACCCGGGCGTGAGTTCATTTAATGCAAACCCAAGCTGTTATTTATTGGCTTATTATTTATGAATTTCAAGTTCTCTCAGACAACCCAATGTCCCATGAAGATCTAGTGAATAAACATATGAGAACTACATCTCCTTACCGGCAAAGAAAGGAAAAGCATTCTCATTCAAACCTAAGATTGTGCGCGCCATTTGATGCCAGGCTTCTCGTACTTTTACCATGGTCAACATAACACAGTGATAACCTTGTGAACTCGGCATCTAGTTTTCCCCTTCTCCCCTCCGAGAAATTATGAAGTATCTTAGCCTAAAGAATTTTCGTTAACAGTTGTAGTAGGAGCATATTGCAAGAATTAAATCTCAATGTTCAAGTTCGTCATTCTCAATTCGTCTCACTCCTTTGACTTTATTATTGCTTATTTGATGCTCTTCTACCTTAGCAGCAAACTATTATTTTGTTCTTTTAAATCGACACGAATAAAACGTACAATTCAAGACAATTTATGTTCCTTGTAATCCAAGACAGGTTACAGGGGAAAGAAACAGCCTTTTACTTACCGACAGAAATGTTTGACTTGAAATGTCACTATTCCATCTGCAAGAACTGGCGTCATCACTAACTGATCCGTACTTTCAGTCCATTCTTGTGATTTTTCTCTTGAATAGTGCAATATCCTCCACTGACCACAAGATAGGTTTGCCAAATCCACCCTACCTTGAAAAAATGTAAGAGGGATCGTGATTTTTGCTGGTTCCAAAAGTTCAACATTGTGAGAAGATGATATGTGAAGGACTGGACCAACTAACATTCCTTCTCCGTTAGGGCNGTGATGGGTCAGTATCCACCCTTTGAACAACTGGGCCCTGAATGGAGGGAGACAGCATATGTTGCCATTGGCTAGTCTTCAAAATTTACCGATACCACCAACCAAATCAAATTTGACCAATACCACTTTCCCCATTGATTATACCACAAACAAAACTTCATCTACTGCTACAGCTTATTTGGCTGGTAACCACTCTATGGCAGGCCATTGGATTTTCAAGGGAGACAGAATTTCAAGTTCGAAAGTTCTCAAAAGGCGGGTGTGAAGGCTAACTGGAATTTCCAAGGTCCAGCTGAATGGGGGAAGCGAAGGGAGGAAGGCACAAGGTCAAAAACTATCTGAAGGAGGGGTAGTTTTTTTGGAACAACACATTATCATTTCTAGCAATAGACCACATGGATAGTGATATCTTTTGCAAAAATTCCTTCAATTTCCTGCTTTTGCTTCAACAATGTCAGGTATGTACAAGAAAAATATAGTCTCTTTAATAAGCTGTGCCTAATATCCTCTGTTTTCTTGTGAAATTTTAGCCGCTGTTAAGCGCTTTTTCAGCCGGTCAAATTTGCCGGTTAAGCCAGTTTCTGATACATGCAAAGAAACATCCCTGCTCTTTAAAGTGTATAAAACATTGACTCTAATAACAGCAAATTCAAACATTTGCTACCTTTAGTGGGTACCGTGGCCCCTGGTGTCTTCTCATCTTGGAGAACCTAAGAAAAAACAATAGAATGGAACTATTGAAGTACAACAGAATGAAGTTCTTTTTCTTAAGGAAAACGATTTAACGGTATGATCAGGCCACTTCATATGTAAGCTAAAAAATAGCTATGTCAGTCAATTAATGATGCTGAATGAAAATGTGAAGCTTATTATTAGGCTTTAGCTCACTATTTTTGTGTCTAGTGTACCATAATTTGCCGTATAGTAAGCCCTTGGCTTATATGTATAATCCGCAGGTAGGTAGGTTTAGTTTATCTGGCAGGGGTGGGAGGAGAGGGGCTTTTACAAAAAGGAACCTGGTATTTCAAAAATGTTTCTAAAATAAGTGTTATGAAGCACAATTTCTAAATCAACAACTCCTAAGCATACTGTAAATTCGAGGTGGCCTTTCTCAATTATTATCCACAACTTCCCATCATATTTTTAATTGAGCTAAGTTCACTTGATTTTTCTCCCGTCCTTCAACTTAGCTAGCGGGATACTTACTTGATATGCCTCATCATAACATTTCTTTCTTTCATTATCTCCAGTGGACGATGCCAACTGTTTGATGTGATGGAGGAACTTTTCCATTTCCAGGTCTTTCATCTCAGCCTGCTTCACCTCCCATACATTCTCATAAAAACTCAGTGTTTCTTTTCCATAAAAACTCAGTGCTTCTTTTCCGTATTTTCTGAACATTTCCTCTTTTTTAAGTTGCTTGCATAACTGGAGAATTCCAATGATTGTTCTCTCCCTAGCCAAACCAAACTCCTTCGCCTTCGCTCCACCTTTCCCTACCTCCCAGTGCTTTTGCCAGGTATGCAACAGGCCCTCTTGGAATTCTGGAATGTGTTGCTCATCACCAACATCTCGGTACAGCTGTTCTACCTTGTCTTTTAGTGTCGCTTTGTCGTAGGCATGGTCCTCGGCAACAAAGTCTGGTCTCACAAGAACTTTTTTGTACAGTGCTAACTTCATGGTTTTGTGCCTTGTGAGTTTCTCGTGCTCAGCTCGACTGCGACAAAACTCAATTACTTTGTCCAAGAACTCATCTCTTTCTTTCAGCATCTCGTTAAGCTTACTGTTATCTATTTCTTGGTCAAACTCCTCTTGAAACTCTTTCTCAGTAGCAGTCTGCATCCCTTCATAGAACCACAAGGCGTCTTTTTCGGTTTCATCTTTGTCTTTCTGGTCACGAACCAAGTGCAATAAAGCATCAATGATCTCTTTGTTGTACTCAGTGAAGCTGAACTGCACAGAACGTTTCTCTTCATCCCAGAAGCGCTGACAAAATTTCAGCGCATCATTTCTAAATTTTTCCTTCTCCAGGGAATGAAATGACGGCAGATGTCGTTCCATCTTTCTTTTTGTCTCTGAGTAATCATACATGTCTTCAACACCTTTAATAATCTTCCGCCATACTTCACTATGGTTTCCTGCACCAAGCGACTTCTCCATTTCCCACGCCTCGCGGAAAAGCTCCAGCGCTTCATCAAATTTACTTAAGTTGGCTTGAAGCACTGCTCGCTGGAAAATGCTACGCACGGTTAGTGGGTGATTCCCAAGAAGCGTCATCCTTATGTTGTAAGCCCTTTCTGCAGGTTCAACTGCTTCTCGATACTTCCCCTGAAACATAAGAGCATTGGCAAGGTTTCTACAGAAGTGTGCTTCATCGCTAAACCCTGAAAGTTTGAGCTCTTCCAAAAGATACAGGGCGTCTCTGTAACACTCCACTGCCTTCTGGTAGTCTCCCTGACCCTCATATGCTGTGCCGATTTGATTCTTGTACATTGGCATGTCAAAATGATACTCTGAACCGGCAATTTCCTTTTGTATGTTGTATGCTTTAGTGTAGAACTCAAGTGCTGTCTCCGGTTTGTTGAGGTGAAAATGGCAGTTTCCAATAGCATTGTAGCACCTTGCAAGATCAGAATGAACTTTAAGGAGTTCCGCTCTAAATTGTAACGATAACTCCAAGATTTCCAGTGCTTTCTTGTAGTTTCTCTTCATGTAGTGAGTCTCCCCCTCAGTATACAGGTAAAGTCCTTTGCTGAGCCTGTAAGATTCACTCGATTTATCTTGAATATTATCGAATGAACAGGACGCTTCTTTCAACACTTCAAATGCTTTCTCAGTTCCATCAACATCTAAAACTTGCCGAGCTTCCCAACATTTTAACTGCACCCGGCAAAGAGAGCCTGTGCGGGGACAACAACAACGGCAAAAACAACTTTTGAAAGACATAACAATAAACGAAGAAATGAATGTCACGTAAAAAAAAAGGGGGTTGTATAAGTACACGTAACCCTTCCCCAGACTAAAAGTTAGTTTAGGTAAAAGTATGTCATGTTTAAGTAAAGGTTTGTTTTCTAATTGCTTGACTTCTGATACGATTACTCATTTATCATATGACTGAGAAAATTGCGAACGCGCGCGCGTTGAGGAGGCTGGTAACGGTCAAAGACTTTTTTTAACAGCTATACTTTGAAGGATGAATACTACCACTGTTTAACAAGTGATGCTACAATAATGGTATCACACAAATGCCCAGTCATTTGTAAACAAGTTGCGGTCATCCCTTTTATAAAAAAGGCTACCATAACAATAATATGACATGCTAAAAACATCCTCAATTTTATTTTTAAGCGCTTTTAGCTCAAAAACCAGCGCGGTTACCTCTCATTATTTATTATCGAATTGTGATAAGCATGATAAGATGCAACTTCTTGAAAAGTTTAAGATAATCATGTGACGTGGCTTCAGAGCCACCTTAAATTTCCGAAAAGTTAAGGTGGCTCTGAACCTACCTCACAGAATTTTTTTTAAGCTTTCCAAATAGTTGCATCCTATCATCACAATTCGATAATAAAACTTGGGGGTAACCGAGCTCGTTTTTCAGTTATAAGCGCTTAAAGCTTAAATAAATGGTGTTTTAAGGAGGTCATATTGTTGCTATGGTTACCTATTGCACCATAAAATTGACAGCAACATGTTCACCAATTATTGGGTAGTTTTTATTATTATTATTATTATTATTATTTTAGCATCAGCCGATCGCGATATAGAACGGTTCCGCTCGACCCTAATATGCACTGCAGTACAAATTAAGAATTAACGAAAAATTGGGCTGCACTCAGCCAATCACATAATGAAGTAATTTTCTCAGTCATGTAATAAACAAAGCTACTGGTCGAATTGTTAGGCGTGATGTCATAATATTTTAAATTTTAACTTGCCAACCAACTATGAATATAAAGTCATGCCAGAATGCTGACCAATCTCACACTTATTTATTGAATGAAATGAAAACAAATTGGCACTTTAGCCAAGATAATCTCAATCTGTCGATGATAAACATTAATGATATGGCAGTAAGTAGCTGTCCGATCCTAGATTAATATTATAAAAACAAAATACAGTGAAGTGTTTGATCTGAACGTTTACAATTATAGAGGAAAATGTATGGAATGTCTTTGCCGTATAAGTCAGAGTGAGCAAGTCCAGCCGACTTCATAAACAGGACTCGCAGAATATTGACAATGGCGTGACGATGACAGCGAAACGTCGGTTCTTTTCGCTTATTTTCATTTGGAAATATTTTTTATCAAAAATATTTTCACAAAATCTCAAGCGTGACTAACATTTACATCTTTGTTGCTTAGCTAAAATTTCGTCCAAAATTTCATAATACTGTGCCAAGCGGCCCATAAGGCAGGAGTATTTCTAGTTCTCCCTGGATGGGATGTTAGTCCATCCCAGGGTTACCCCCCAGTATTAAGTTCCCCGGCACCCATTTATACGAGAAACCAGAAACTGCAAGGGACCGCATACGATAAACGCCGCCAACGTAGGATCTACCA